CTCGCAATGGCTGTAATTAGTTATGAGGGGTAGCTGTAGTCCATTGGCTTTACTACACTGGATCAAGTTTATATAAGAGAGGATACAATTTATCATCTCTTGGTTTAGCTACAGTAAATTCAGGAGTACTGACAGGTATTAAAATATGTTCAGGTGTTCGTTAACAACAAATCAGTGGCGTGTAGGCTTGAATGAGAACAAGGAAGTTAGTTTTTGTAAGAAATCTTCAACGTTCGAACTATCCGTCAATACAGGTATGCACAAAAAAAGAAAATTCATTCTGTGCATGCCAAAAATGCAGATTGCACTTGTACCCATTCGATGAATAATAAAATTCATCGTTGGGCCCTGTGACTTTGCACCTAAACATTTCAACCTTGTTCCCAGTTTCACAGGGTATGAGATTGCTCAACGTTTATTTTTTCTTTAATGCTTTTTGATTTTCGTCTTTTTTTTGGTTTGGCTTTCTTGATAAACAACCCCATTACAAGACGATATCATTACAATTGCATCCGGTGTTACATCCCATTACATTGTGTTACATCCGGCCAGCCGTCGTGCTTCTGGGACTTCCGGCCTACTCGTTCAGTTTATTCACCATTCTTGGCTTATCGGCCATCGCAATACCTGGCTCGAGTTTAGCCATTGACATTGCTTTGGATCGTTCAAAAGTATACATTTGCTTGGTATATTGATCTTGACACATCTACTTCACTTCCTGGTTGGATAACATTGATGAATTTAGATGGTCGACGGCAGAAATCGGAAGTATTACGACCATGTTTATTCTTTGTCAAGTGTAGGTGGGCTGCTTGTATCATCATCTCTGGTCTGAAACACGGCAAACTAGACATTTGATTAGAGTAACTGTTAGATTAGAGTCTGCGCTAGATTTGGCCAAGGAAATGGAGCGAGCGAAGGAGAGACACTAGAGGAACCACGCGACGAAAGTATCCTGAAGAAATTCCCAAAAACCTTCAAGGTAGGTTTTGTATCAATTCATGTTTCATCAAATTCTTTGGCCAAAACCTTATTAACTAAACGAAGGTAACAACAAGATGATAAAAGATACTTTTGCAGCTGATTTTCTCTCTCTAAAGCCTGTTTGAAGGAAATTCTAAAGCCCTCAAAATTTCCAATTTTGCAATATTTTAAAAGTTGCCTCGGATGTCTTTAGCACCCATGGCCAGAATATAATTTTCCCCAAACAGATATTATGATATCTAGAAACTTCAATATCTATGCAAGCTCTGCTGCTAATTTGACTTATGTGGAAGGAGTACTTTCAGAGAAATTACGAATATGGTTGTGCTTGTTTTTCCTGCTTGTCAAAATGGCCGACAGGGGACATAGTAAAACGAGCAATTTCTTCTTGCCGATTTTCATAAACTGGGAGAGTGGCTCTACCATCTGTATGAATTTCATTTGAATTGGTTCACGTGCACCCGAGAACCAGACTCCTTTATTTTTACTTCTTGAGAGTGAATTTTTTGGTCAAAACATAGACGTCTGGCCAACGTGATCAAGTGTGGTTACCATGGCAACGATACATCTGCCGATCCACACAAAAATTGAAGAGGGGTTAAAAATTTTCATTTCCAACTTTGCTTCACTTTCCTGGAGAATTGCTCTTAAGGTGTCCAGTTTGACAGAATCTTCTGAATTACAAAAGTGCCATATCATTGAACAGTAGTGAAAATGGGGTAAGATAAACACTTTATAAAGGCGAAGCATAATTTCAGATGAGATAAGTTTGCCAAATCTTTTGAAGACACTGAACTGATTATTTATTCTTTTGCATACAGAGGATATGTGATCCTTGAAATTAAGTTCATTGTCTAGAGATATTCCAAAAAGATCCAGGCATCTTGTGGTTAAAAAGGAGAAAGGGTAATCGGTTTTGCCAAGAACCATCCCTTGATGTTTAGCAGGATTTATTTGCTATTTGTACATCATGATTGATCCGCCGTTCCAAGGCTACTGGGTCTACATCAGATGAGTGCAGTTGGCAGTCATCGGCATAAGTGTCTCATTTTCCAATGACCGCAAAGCGGTAAGTACATTTAGTTGGACATTTTGCGCGGCATAAGATTCACGCTGTTCAGTTCATCGGCACTGTCGCCAAAGTGACCTTCGCCGTTGAGGCAAGCAAACACGAGGTCATCAGTCACCAGGCAATAAATATTAATGGGGTTCAGTGCGCGGTCCGGGGAGGTGGTCCTCGGGCGCAAAATGTTCTCCTTTACAATTATCCTGCTGAGGGGCCTGAGGACTCCATTCGTAGAGCGCTGGGTGTAGAGGGGTAATTGAAGAAGTCAAGTTTCGTCACTGGCCGCATATGCCGACTGTTGGGGATGGGGTTCATATTGTGCGTATGGGCCGCCGCGAAGCTATCCCGCGGCACATGTCTATTGGTGAAGTTCGTGTGAAAATTGCCTATGCTGGTCAGCAGCAGGTGTGTGACTTGTGCGATGCACCTGGTCAAATTGCGCAGAATTGCCCCTATCGGAATAAGTGTTTCCAGTGTGGGCTCAAGGGCCACTTTTCCCGGAATTGCCCTCAGCTCGTTAGTTACCGCGATCGTGTTTCCATTCTGGATGAGTTAGACCCCACCCCTGCTGAAGCCGCTGGCCGTGCTGTCGCTGCTGCTGCCGCTGCTGCTGCCATTCCGTCTGAGTCAACTGATGTTCCGCCTCGTTCCAACGCGGACTCCTTGTACGGGGTGTCTGTGTCTTCTGCCCTTGTTGCATCTGCTACTGCTGCTGCTTTGGATGCTGATATCGACTTGTCCGACTCCAAGCTTACTACTTCTGTAGGCCCCACTCCATCTTCAACCTTGGATAGCCATGACAATCAGCTTGACGAGTTGGTTAGTCAGTCCCTGCTCTCATCGCCTGCTCCATCTGGTGCGGGCGTTGACTCTCTGCAAGGGGCTAATATTGAGTCTGCTGTTTTTGATTCCCCCGCGTCCCCGTCTTCCCCTGGCCAGGGCCCTCCCAGCAGCGCTTCCAGTGTTGGGCTTTTGGGTAAAATTAAACAAAGGGTTGGGTAGAATAAAAAGAAAGACTGTAAAGTTATTGACAATGTTAATGCTAGTGACACTGGTAATGGTAGTAATTAAAAGGCATCTACTAGTAATGGATTGAGTAATAGTAATGGCAATAAAAATGTTAGTGATATTAGTAGTAATGCAAAGACATCATTAGTAATGGCAATAACAATGTTAGTGATATTAGTAATAATGCAAAGACATCTAGTAGTAATGGAAAGAGTAATTGTGAAATAGTTTCTTCCCAAAATCTATCTGAGAGTGAATACATTGGTCTGGGTCTTCTTGCTGGTCGGGAAAACAACAGCGAAATGGAATTGGAGGTAGAATCTCAAAAACGTTCACACCCAGGTTCTGATTCTGTTGACTCTGTGGATGATAATTCCTTTGCTGCGCCTGAGGCCCCCCCCCCCTCGTTCCTCCAAAAAGAAGCCAGCTGTTGTCGTCTCTCCGGGCACTGCTAGGCCCGTTGCTGTTGCCGTGACTGCAGCTGCTGTTGGTCCCCTAAGCGCTCACCTTCTGCCACTCGTTCCACCTCGACTGGCACCGATGCTCTGCCGCCTTCTCTTGGTTATGTGCCGAAGCCTCCAAGGAACGCTAGTGGCTCTTAAGGCTTCAAACCGAGGTGATTCTTACCCACTTAAATGGCTTTGTCAATTATCCAGTTAAACACCAACAGTATTAGGAATCCTGACAAGCGTGCCGGTCTCTTGCAGTGGTTGCGTTCCCTTTCTGTGGTCCCGGATGTTGTGTGTCTCCAAGAGGCTCACCGTGTCAGTGAGGTCGAGTGTCAGTCCTGGTTTCGTTCTTCTGGTTCTCAAAAGTCGTGTGTTTTTATCATTCCTTTTCGTCCTTGTCTGTCCCTTGTCAATTTTTCGCCTGATGATGCCGGTCGTTTTGTGTTGTGTGAATTCCGTTTCCATGGCAAATTGTTTCGTGTAGTCTCCTTGTATGCCCCCAATCGCAATCCTGCAAGAGACCAATTTCTGGAGCTGGTTCCCTCTTGGGTTGATCCCGCAATCCCCACAGTTGTGTGTGGAGATTTTAATACCATTTTTGATCGTTCGCTTGATCGCGCGGGGTCTGTGGCTTCTGACACTTCTAGGGAGTTCTTCTACTCTCTCTTGGCTCTTTGATGAATGTTGTGTCGTTGACGCCTGGTGGTACCTGCATCCTTCCTCCTCTGGTTACACCTGGATGAGTCCGGACGGCTCTGTTTCCTCTCTTTATTAATCTCATTGGTTGTCCATATGTGTGAGTCCCTTCCGTTTCGTTGTGTGAAATTGTTCCATGTCCGTTCTCTGACCATTGTGCTGTTCTTTTGTGTGTCACTGTCCCTGTTGTTGTCCCCCCGGGTCCAGGGCTGTGGAAGTTGAATATCTCCATTTTGGAGGAGGTTGAGTATGTCCGCCAGGTTGAAGACTTCTGGTCCCGCTGGAGTGACCAGAAGGTTTGCTTTCCTTCCCTGGCTAAGTGGTGGGAGGCAGGCAAGTCTCGTATCAAGGGTCTCTCTATCAATTATTGCTGCTCGAAGTCATCTGATACTGCGGTGAAGAGGAACCTTCTCTCTAGGCTTGCCATTCATCTTGAGGAGCGTGTTGATGGTGTCACCCTGTCTTTAGTTGGGCCGTACCAGTCGGTACTGCAACAGCTGGCTGAACTTGATGTGGAGGTAGTGGGAGGTGCTCAAGTGCGTGCGAGGACACGCTGGATTGAGGAGGGCGGGTCCTCCAGCTCTTTTTTTCGTCTGGAGAAAAAGCATGGAGTGGATCGCCAGATAGCTGCGGTGTGGACTATTGATGGTTGCATTGTCAAGTCCCCGGAGGACCTTTGTGGTTCATTCTCTTCTTTTTATTCATCCCTCTTTCCTGCTGAGCCTCCTGATGCTGACGCGCAGGAGTCCCTGCATGATAACATCGAGTCATCTTTGTATACCATTCAATCGCAGTCTTGTGAAGGTTTGTTGTCTGTTGAGGAATGTTTTGAGGCGTTGTCTGGGATGGCTAAGCGCAAGGCTCCGCACTTGGATGGCCTTCCAGCTGAATTCTATCTTAAGTTTTGGCATGTTCTGGGGCAGGACCTCGTTCATGTTCTTAACTCTTGCTATACTGCTGGTTCCTTGCTCTCTCTAAGCGTCGGGGCGTCATTTCGTTATCTTTTAAGAGGGGGGACCGTCTGGATATGTGGAACTGGCATCCCTTATCCCTCTTGAATGTGGACTACAAGCTGGCTGCGCGCACCATTGCAGCTAGATTGCTAAAGGTCATTCATCTTGTGGTCACTGAGGACCAGACTTGTGGGGTTCCGGGGAGATATATCGGTGAGAATGTCGCTTTTCTCAGCGATGTGGCCTCTTATGCCACTATGTTTGACTCTCCTGTTCTCATCTTGTCTCTCGATCAGGAGAAGGCCTTGGATAGGGTGGATTGGTCCCTTATGTATGCCACTCTTCGGAAAATGGGGTTTGGTACTTCTTTTCTTAAGTGGGTTAACTTGTTTTATACTGGCGTCCAAAGTTCTGTTAATGTAAATGGCTGTCTATCTCCTTTCTTTTCTTTGTCTTGTGGCGTCCGTCAGGGCTGCCCTCTGTCCCCTCTCCTGTATGTTCTCGTTGCTGAAGTGCTTGCGTGTAATATTTGTGCTTATCCACGTATTAAAGGCCTTTGTCTCCCCAGGTCGTCAGACCCTTTGTCCCTGATCTCTCAGTATGCCGATGACACATCGCTGGTTGTTTGCACTGACGAGGCCATTTGTGCCTGCTTTGCTGTTTATGACACCTATGAGCGCGTCTCTGGCTCTAAGCTAAATCTAAGCTAAATCAAAGGCCTTTGGCTTGGTCCTTGGGCAAACCGTTCTGACCCTCCGGTTGCTCTTGAATGGTTGTCGGTGAAAATCAAGGTCTTAGGTTCTTTTTGGGTCCCGGGAACCTCGACGATGACAATTGGAAGCCCCGCATTGCTGTGGTGGAGAACACTCTCTCCTCCTGGCGTCAGCGAATCTTGTCCTTTCAGGGCCGTGCCCTTGTTATCAACGCTCTAGCTTTCTCCAGGGTGTGGTATGTGGCTTCTCTCATTCACATGCCCCCCTGGGTCGTTGGGGAACTGCTGAGGCCGGTCTTAAGCTTTTTCTGAAAGGGCAAGAAGGATATTGTTGCTCAAGCTGTGGTTGTCCAGGCACCCTCAGTTGGTCGGTTCTCGGTAGTAAATTAAAGGTTCAGTCGTTATTGGTGCAGTGGGTCAGACGTTTTGTCACAGCACAATCCAGCTGGTCTGCTTTTGTGCATTTCTGGTTTCACACTGTCTTTAACTCCTCTGCGGTGGATGTGATTTCTCGGCCTTTTGCTTTTAGCCCTCGTGCTCTCCCTCCGTTCTATCAGTTGTTACTGTTGGCCTAGCGTGCTGTCGATGGCTCTTTCTCTCGGTAGAGGGCGGCCTTGGTTATGGCCTTGTCGGATCCACACCTGTTTGCTTTGGCTTCTTCCATGACAGCCAAATCTGCCTATCTTTACTTGCTGTCTGTTAACTTTCTTCCCCCTCACTGTGAGGAGAAGTTTCTCCCCCTGTAAGGTTCTCTGTATTGGTCAACTACCTGGAGGCAGCTTAGCTTCTGCCCTGTCGATAGATCTGTCATTAATGTGGCTTCGCAGGTGGCGCATGGTGTTCTATACACTGCTGATCAGCTGATCTCCTCCGGGTATGATTATGACCCAAATTGTTTTTGTGGCTCTCTGGAGACTCCGTCTCATCTTTTTTTTGAGTGTGCTCTGGCTCAGGGCGTTCTTGGCTGGATTCAGTCTCTTATGTTTCACGCTTCGTCTCTGTGTTCTTCTCTGTTGTGTCATGTCCTCTTTGGCTTTTCTGCTTCTGAGCTTGCTGTGGTTCCTCGTGTTTTTGTTTACCTGCTGCATCTTGCCAAGTATTTCCTGTGGAGGGCGCATAATGCTAACCGTTTCCGTGATGTCCAGCCTGGGGCTCTTCCTCTGGTTGAGGTTATTAAGGCCCGTGCAAAGTGCCACCTTTGTATCCTCTTTAAAAGGTTCAGGTCATCACATCGTCAGCGTTATTTTCAAAGACTGGGGAGCAAATGGCGTTTTTGGGAGAGTGTCAGAGGGTTCATTTTACTTTCGTCTTTAGCCTGAGTGAGTGGGTCTATGGTTTCTTGGTTGCCTTTGGTGTTTGTACTGGGTCTCCTTCATTCTTGAGCGAGTGTGTCTCTTGGTTTCTTGGTCGCCTTTGTTGGTTGCACTGGGTTTCCTTTTGCTTGAGTGAGTGTGTCCTGCTTCTCTTAGTCATCGTTGGCTTTCGTCTTTAGCCTGAGTGAGTGGGTCTATGGTCTCTTGGTCGCCTTTGGTGGTTGTACTGGGTCTCCTTCATTCTTGAGTGAGTGTGTCTCTTGGTTTCTTGGGCGCCTTTGTTGGTTGTACTGGGTTTCCTTTTGCTTGAGTGAGTGCGTCTCTTGGCTTCTTGGTCGCCTTTGTTGGTTGTACTGGGTCTCCTTGTTTGAGAGAGAGTGTCTCCGGACTGTTCGTGTCCGTTTTTAGTTTACTGCTAGTTTAACTTTTAGTTTCCTCCTTTTGGAGTGGTTCCGAGTGAGTGTGTCTTAAGTTTTAGTCATAGTTTTAGGCAGTGCCCGCGTCTTTTAACTTGTTCTTTTGTCCTGTACATGTTTGTCTTGTACTGTGTATGTAGGGGTGGGGGTTCAATTCCCCCGGTCAGTTTCTGTGCTGGTGCACTGCCCCGTTTGATGTGTGTTTGGTACTAGACGTTAAGTCTGGTGGCATTGCACTACCCTACTGGGCGCCGGCCATTCACCTCAAATAAAAAAAAACTTACCTGACGCCGGATTTTGCAACGCTGAAACTCTACCGGTTTGCTTTGAGAATCTGCTGTTTGTGGTAAGTACTGCTGCGACTTTCTAGGCATGTGTTTTTCCTTGTAGATAGCGGCCCCTGTTTGTTCATGGTTTCTTGTGCTGCCTCTTACTTGGTAGTCTGGCCAGTTGGGTCACGCTTGTTGAGTGGTCTTGGCTTTTATCCGTTTTCCTTCCTGAGTGGCTACGGGCGCCCGTCCTTTCGGGTTCCACCTCTGTCAGGACTTAACTTTTGTAAGTTTTTCCTTTTTCGTACTTTTTCTAATTTTTTAGTTGTTTTTGCTATGCTGTATATAGCTTTTACTTTGGGCCGTTAGTTTTTTGGTGTCCTGTCGACACCAATTACTTGGCCCTATGGCAATTGGCGTGTCCACCAACTCCTTTTTTTCTCCTGCAATTAGTGTCTTCCTGCCACTAATTGTTTCTTTCTTCCTGTAGATTGGTGTCCTTTGGACCCTAATCTACTTTTTGTGTTTTTGTGCTTTCAATTAGTGTCTTTGACATCAATTGTTCATCTTATTACAATCGGTATCCTTTTACCACCGATTGTTATTTTTTCGCTTTCGCTGTGTGGATTAGCGTCTTTCGCCCCTAATCTTTTTGCGCTTTGCGGCTTTTTCGCTTTTGTTATCATGCGCCTACCAAAAACCATTAGCTTGCTGGTCGGCCGCAAGCTGGCTGACAAAACCAAAGATGAGAGATCATGACCGAAATTCTTCGGGTTTTTGCCGGCCTTGACGTCAAGGCTGTCCAGATTGCATACGAGGTCGTTCGTGTCACCTTTGCTTCTCCAGAGCACTTTCGGGCGGCCAAATCGTTTTTGGGAAAGCCTCTTTCCGGTTTGTGGTGCTCTATCTTGGGGGGGGGGGCGGTCCCCCTCTTACGTGCGTGCACGTTTTCGAAGTTCCTTTTGAGGAGGATGATAGATCTTTGGAGGTTGCTTTTGAGGCCTATGGTGCAGTCACGTCTGTCAAAAAGCAGACTTTTCTTTTCAACTAAAACATCTTTAATGGTACCAGGCTTGTTGATGTTGTCTTATCCGGGGTATTACCCTGCTTTCAGATGGTGGATGGCTATTTGTGTCGTTTGTGGTATCGTGGTCAACCCCTTGTTTGCAATCTTTGTGCCGTTCAGGGCCACAGATCTGCAAACTGCCCCAACAGGGACAAGTGCAGAAAGTGTGGGAAATCTGGGCACTTTGCTTGAAATTGTACTTTTGACGGGTCAGCGGGAGACTCGGCGGATTTCCGCCCTTGGCCTCATCCTCGCAGTCTGCGGAAGCCGGTGTGTCTTGGTATTCTTCTGACTCTGAGCTCCTTAAAGATAACGAGCTCGATCTTCTGCAGAGTCAGTCGATTCTGCAAGCCTTAGTCCCTGTCAGTGGTGATTCTTCTGAGGAGTCCAACCAAAGGCCCTCCAAAAGAGCCGGGAAAGATAAGGGCTCATCTGCTGGTCCTTCTATATCGCCCCAGCTTTTCTCTTGTTAACTCCTGGGTTGAACTGGAGGGGCATTATCTGATGGCTGAATTTAATAGAAGGGATTAAGTGTTCAGCATTGCACCTGTCTACGCACCTAACCGGAACCCCGAGTGCGACAAATTCTTTACCTCACGTGTGGACTTTGCGGATCCATCTGTTCCCATGATATTATGTGGTGATTTTAATGCTGTTTTTGACAGAGCCAAAGATCGTCGGGGCTCTGATCCTGTTGTCACCATCGGGGAGAGCTTTGTCTCTCTGGAGTTACTCTTCCGGGAGTTCTGTGTTTTGGATGTTTGGCGCCATCTCCATCCTGATCTTCACACTTTTACCTGGCTGAAGCCTGATTGTTCCTTGTCCTCGCACATTGATCTTATTGGATTTCCGTCTATCTGGGTTCATCTTGTCTCTTCATGTACCGTTGTTCCGTGTCCTTTCTCTGATCACGATGCTGTTTTTCTCGGTTTCTCTATCCCTGAATCTTTTCCTCGTGGCCCTGGCAGATAGAAACTGAATGTTTCCATCCTTAGGGATCCTGTCTTTTTCCAATCTGTTAGTGACTTCTGGTCTAGATGGAGCTTCTGCAAGCCCTCTTTCTCATCT